TTTCCTGCTGTTCGCCATCAGGACAATGTCGTCACCGAAAAGGGTGGTTTTGAGTGACCCCTCCCCCCCATGATCTTGTGCCATGACACGGGTACACCAAGGAGCTCTCACCCGCCTCTCCTCTTCTTGACTATGGATTACCCCAACCGTGATATCTAACTCCTTTGTCAAGACCTGTGGGGTGCGCATAGACCTTGGGCCCCATCGGGAGACGGACAAGAGGATCGTGGATTGGGGCCTCGCGACAATGGGCGCGGCGTTTCCTTAACTTGCACTACCCTTTCGATTGGAGCATCGGATTTCATGTAGACAAGGACATGACACTTATGTCTATTTTTGGTCATACATTGTCTATTCTCGACCAATACCACCTAAAATCGTCGTCATTAGCGGGCGCGACGTCGCACGCGATGCCCACTGGTGCGGCGAATTACGATTCTCTTGCCACATACCCGGCCCGATCGTACATGTCCTTGAACTATGGAGACAGGTGTTTGAAACTTCCGTTCTCTGAGCGCTCTTCAGAGCACAGGCCGAGGCAGGCCTGTGCCCTGGAGAGCGATCGAATGCCTTCTCAAGGTCCAGGAAGGCTAGGTAGCACGGTCGCCGCTTCTCTCGGTACTTCTCCATCAGCTGTCTGACGATGAAGATGGCATCAGTGGTGGACGTGTAGGGCATGAAGCTGAACTACACCTGTGAGATAAGGACAACTCCCCTCAGCCATGTGTTGACTAGCCTCTCGTTCAGCTTGATGGTATACGGAGTCAACTTGATGCCACGGTAGACGGAGCGCTCCGTCACGTCACTTTACTGTTTGAAGATGAGGACGATTGTGCTGCTCCTCCACGCATCCAGCATCCCTTCAGGTGTTCTGTCGTCCAGGATGAGCCAACTTATCCAACCCTCTCCAAGGGCCGTCCATGCTTCTATCGTATCCCATCTGGACCCATTGTCTTTCCAACCTATTCCTCGCCTCTTTACGTGAGCGATGCTGTCTCAGCTCGAGGCAGCTATGGTTATGCGAACTAACAGGTGCACTAGAACATGCTGTTTGCGGTGTCGTGACACGTTGGGGACCAGTGCCCCACTCCGTATACAGCCATTGCTACCAC